CACCCCCTCCACCCCAACCAATCTCTGTACTCTAGCGAGCACACAGTTAAACGAAATGTATCTACTATTCTCAATAAACCACAATTTATAACAGTAACAGTGATTTTGATAAAGAGCAAGCTTAATTACCTGCATTCTACTCCTGAAGAATCGTTTTCCTGAGCATATCATCTTGAGCAGCAGCTGGAAAAGGGAGGGAAAATTAGTTCCCGAAAAGAAAGAAGCAAATCGGAAAACAACTTAACCATTGCCATAAAAAATGTTAAAGAGCACCTCAAAGATAAAAATCATCCTATAGGGGAAATACAACATTGTGTCATGGTAAAACAGACATCTTAGTAAAGAGAAAAAGAGAAAAAAGAGAAATTATGACCATCACCATTCAGAAAAAAGGCGTGAAACATCAAATTGAAGAAAAAAAAAAGAAAATATACGACCAAGGTCATGCGCTATCCAGCAGTCAGTCTCATTGGTCCACAGTCAATATAATATCAAGTTTTACGCCAAGAAAAGCGCTGAAAGTTTTTTGTTGTTGTTGAAAAAGTCAATAAAAAATGCATAACATTTTGTGCATATACAAGACTTTACTATTACAGGAAATTTAGAGCTCAGAAAAAAACTCGAACAATCAAAGTTAAACCACATAATATTATACTTACTATAACCACAAGCACTGAGAGGATAGATATGCTGATATAGTGAAGTTTGTGGGCCACTATTGTCAGCTTCTCATTGGTCTGTCCATCCGTGCTCAGCATATACTTCTGATTTGCTGCAGCGCTATTGACAGTCGTGTTTTGGGCAGCCATATATGGTTGGAAGCACGCGTTGGGTTCTGACCAATCAGAATTATTGAGCATATTCGACATATAACCTGTCAGCGATTGGCTGGCATTTTCAGCAGTAGATTTGAGAAGATGTGCGCAGTTCGACGCAAAGTTCGTGACGTTTGGTTGTGACGTGTCCCAAACGACATTGGCGTCTAGAATTTTCTGCAGCAGCACGTTGGATTTTCTGGGACTACGAGGAATGTTGTCGAGAACGGGCGCATGCTTTGTTATCATGTTGTAAATGAACGATTCGAGCATGTCCAACTTGTTTTGAAGACGGTCTGTGGAAGAAGAAATGGAATCAGGTTAACATAATGAGGTATAACAATTACCCTTTTTCCTTTACTGTTAGTGAATTGTCAATTCTTCTAAATGTCTCATTAAGACTGCATACAAAACTTCTCGATAAGTAAAAACATTACCCCAGGGCAAAGATTAATGCATTAAATGTCATGTTTCCCATGTTCATCTCTCCGACTGTAAAATGCTACAGTTAAAGTGGTTGAAAGAGAACCAAACTATCCTGGCACCTTCTAAAGCGATATATGGCTGGCCTTGGCGCTTGAATTATTGAATGGAGATTGAACACACTCTCATGAAGTAAAGCAGCTTCATAACAAAAAAAGTATCAGATTGGAACCCACATGGTAAAAGATCAAGGGGAAGACCACTTGGAACCGGGAAAAGAGTCACGGAAATGGGTGTACAGAAAAGTGGAAAGACAAAGAGTGACATCAATCGACTAGCCCAGGATAGAGAAAGGTGGAAAGCGTTTGTTCGTGGCCTATATTTCACCCAGGTGGGAATGGGTACCCGGCTATAGACAGCGAAAGATCTTGTCAGTTTGTTAGTGTTTGAGCGCTTAATCGGCTGCTCGCACTGTATGCT